TTTTTTTTTTTTTTTTTTGTCTTTTTCAACTAAATACTACTTAATTGCTTATCCAAAAATGAAATTGGAATTAGTACATAGATCCAACCTTTAATCCAAACATAATATAATATGAATAGAATCCAATTGTTGATTAATTATTACCACCACTATGAATTGAATTGGAACCAAATTTTTAATCATGTTCGTATTATACTCAAACCAAACATGCTCTTAGGGACACAATTAGTTCATGAAAATTTATACAAAATAAGGCAAAATTCCTAAGGATTTGATGAAGGGAATCTATTTTTATTTCCAGTCGTTCCAGTATATATGGGAATAAAATTCAATTGCTAGCTATCTTATTAGATAGATGTGCAAATACTCAGAGAATAATAATTTTACAAGAAAGTTCCAGTATAAACAAAAAAAAAAGTCTAAAGGTGTCGAACAAATACCTAAAAAAAATGATAAATTAGATATTCAAAGATGGGTAAAATAAATTAATAATTAAATTTAACAATAATAAAAATAAAATTTAATTATTCCACACAATTTATTATTCAATTTAAATATAAAAATAATTTACATTTTTTATAGAAGAAATTATTTAGTTAAATAAATTTACTTGTAACACACGTCGTGCATTGTTAGTATGTACTAAAAGTGGCTAACAAAACATAAAATTTTGAGAAAATTGTGAAAAGGTACACCTTTTCATACTTATATGTGTAAAAATACTTCAATATAAAATATATGTGTATAAGTACCTTTATGTGTAAATGTTTGGTGAAAAGGTACACTTTTGTTGAATTGTAATTTTTTCTCTTACAAAATTATCCTTTTCTTTTATTAATGGGAGGCAAATATGGCAGTTATATAGGGATTCAGTTTCCTAATTTTATGGTATATCTTTTTTAAATTTTAAATTACCTATTCATCTATAATGGAACAATTGTATATTAAAACATTCATTCCATATTTATTCATCTATCATTCAAACCGAAAATATCTGTCAATGACACCATCCCGCCAATCAATGTCATCACACTATAAACTAAAATGTCACAGTAATACCTTCTAATGACAATGGTACCAGCAATGACACACTATTACCAGGCAAAATTCACATTGTTACCATCTAAAATTCACACTATTATCATCCAAAAAGTCACACTACATTTATATAATTTTTTTTATTTATGTCTTCCCTACATTTATATTATTATTTTTATAAATTGTAATGAGGAATATATATTTTCATCTTATATAATACTATTGATTGTTACGAGTGTTTTTTTTTCATGAATATTTTAAATTTAAATTTAGTACATTGGTACATGTCACATTGACATAGTGATACACAACAATGTCACAATGTTACAAGCCAATATCATACTGCTACAAGCTAATGTCATACTGATACAAGTCAATGTCACACTAGCAGGAGTGTCAGTAATATTTGTGATAATAAAAAGAGTGTCTTTAAAGATATAGTAAACTAGGAGGAGTATGGTTGAAATTTTTCCAAAAAATCATTACACCTCTTGAACGCTGCCTCCATGGTCTACAAACCNCTTAAAGATATAGTAAACTAGGAGGAGTATGGTTAAAATTTTTCCAAAAAATCATTACACCTCTTGAACGCTGCCTCCATGGTCTACAAACCTTAAAGAAGATGAATCATGTCAAAACCCTCCTTTTTTATGTACAGATTCATGATAGTTTCTACAATCCACGACCCTCTTTTGCGGTTCACCTCAACATCAAGAATGTTCAAAACCTTGTGCTTCAAGTCCTTAGAGAGTTTTGCGATCTCAATGAGTCCTCTTGATCATAAACAAAAAGATTTGGACTCTGTTGATACTTTGATCGAGAGTTGATTTTTCAATAAGAGAAAATCGTCTGAATCCATTGAAATTAGGACATTTTGAAAAAAATGAAAGTTTTAGGAAAGTTTTCTTATCAATCTTGGAATAATAGAGGTTTCGGCGATATTGAAGGAGTTTTATGCATAACAATTGATATCCCTGATATTTCGGTTGTGGAGGCAAAAATACAAGAATTGGTTCCCATTTTACTGAAGATGGTATTTTAAAGATTTGTTAGGGATTATTTACTTTTTGACCTATATTTTTAAAAGTGATACTTTTTGCCCTATAATTTCTAAAAAATGCACCAGCCCCCTTAAAACCCTAAATTTTTCCTTCAATATGCTTCGACCCACCCTAAACATAGCAAAGCATATTGCACTTGTAAAGGAAAATAAACTTAATTAGCATCAAAATTCATAGTCTATACCCCCCCCCCCCCAAAAAAAAAAAAACAATGACGAAACGAGATTTTATAAACGCATAACAGCCTCAAAAAAACTGTAAATATGCATGAAAGGTTGGAAAAAACACTCAGTACTACCTCATAGAATATGCAAATTACAGCAGCAATAATGAATTTAGACGCGGAGCATATAATCAAGAACAAATCATGGCTACTAGAAAAATCCTTCTGATTTACACCTACTTCACCACAAGTACACCCACCTTGACTTATGGATGTCGATTGCCACAAGCTTTACACATGCGACATAATAGAGAGAAAACATTTCATACTGTTCCAATATGAAATTGTTTTATGTCGGTAGCACACGAATAAAAAAAAAAAGTGCATGTGTTTCAAATAATTTGAATATTACATGACTTGGCAGCTATGATGACAGAGAAAAATCAATGTGGGAATAAAGTGATTGCAACTAATAGTAAGTAACATAAAAAGACAACGATACAGGAAGATTTTTTTTTTTTTTTTATCTAACATGAAAGAATGGATGATTTAAGATGTATATGAAACCTTATGGAATCGAAGTCATGAAGCACATTCCTGTCCAAGATGCCAAATTTCAGATGCCCCCAGCAAGCTTAGAAGTTCCTCCTCACCATTCAAGAATTCNACCTTATGGAATCGAAGTCATGAAGCACATTCCTGTCCAAGATGCCAAATTTCAGATGCCCCCAGCAAGCTTAGAAGTTCCTCCTCACCATTCAAGAATTCTGGGCCTCAAAAGATTCCTATAGGTTATGCTCGTCGGGACAAAACCATTTGGATATCCATCGTACAGGCACTAGAGATCCAGCAATGAAAAGAATTCACCACCATTGATAACAAAAGTGCTATCTTCCTGTCTTGGCTCGTTTCATTCCTGTGCTATTAAAGGGAGACATGCTGGGGCTCATACTTGGGCTCATGCAAGGGCTTTCTTCCCTAAGCGTACCATTTAGCAGGGCCAATTCTCTTAGTTGTTGCTTCTTATATATATCCATGGATTCATCCTGTAAAGAGAAAAGTGAGAGTAAGAAGTCGAGAGAAAGCAAATAAGCAGTAGCAGAAGGCTGCCATGGTTATATTCCAATTCATACCATGGGCTTCAAAAGGTTTTCTAGTAATGCCACTGCATGATCCAACCGGGATTCTATTATATCTTCTGGTAATTCAGCCTCCACCAAGACGTGTAGCGGCTCATTAAGGTGCTCATATCCAGGTTTATCTTTTAATTTTTCTTCCTAATTAGAAAAAAAAAACAATCGATTGTGAAAAAGTCAGACAAACTGCCAAAAATTAAAACACAATGAACCTCATCCTCTCCCAAACACACAAATATATATAATGTTACTGAAAATGAAAAGGATAGTAAAAATAGCGTATAGAAAGATGGAATTAAACAAGAAAATTTCAACTTTGTCATGTGATCAATGAGTTAATATTACTGAGAAATGCCAAAACATGCAGCATGACTAGTTCAATTAATAACAATGATAATTGACAAAAATTTTAGTATACGGGCACTTACTACCTATCAATATATATACACAATTCTACGTTAAAATCATGCAAACAAAATTGTTTACATAGTCTTAACCACATTTGTTCGAATGCGCCTCATCCTCCACTGAGGTGATTAGACTCCAGCCCAGTTTTTTTCTGTTTCAGCACAAAACAACCTAGCGTCCATATCAGGCCCCATACCTGTGTGTGTTTCATAATGACGCTGCATTTCAGCTCTTCAGCAACTACCACGTCAAACAATGGTCAAACACTGACTCGGTTTACAATTGTGATGACTTCAACAACTTAGCTGAAGTAGCCCATAGAAGAAAATAGTCCTTATGCATGCAATAGCAGCCTCAAGAAAACGGAGAGAGAGATTTGAACATGGGCTAGCTACTAAGCAGACAGGAATAACTAATGAATGATTTGATTCCTGGCATGACTACCTAGGAATTTGACGAGCTATTCTAGCTGGCCTCTTCTGCAATTTGTAATGATCACCATTAGATACAGCCAGACTTTTTTGTAAATCAGCATTAAACAAAAAAAAATCGGTGACACTCATGAGTTGAGCCAAATTCAGATGTTCTCCACCTCCAGTCACTTCTTCTGATCTCAACAAATTTTACTAAAATCCCTTCGTCCTCCAACTTGAATCTCCCGTGCCAAAGACGGTATCAAGAGCCTAATGAACACTACTCTTGAGCATAAAAATATGCCAATCCCCTCAGATTTTTTTGCCAGTATCAATACCTTCACTACCAAATAAATCATGAGTAGAAGGAGGCACAAAGGGTTCATCTCAATGTTGTGGTCCGGCCACACGCTGACAGTTACCATCAACATTAATGGATTCTCAAGCTTAACCATCACACCGTAGATAACATGTGCTGCTTATAAAGACAGATGATCAAGTAAAGGGTTCACTAAACAGTGAAAGGTGCTCAAGCTGTCAAACATAAAAATGAAGTTCATGAAGTTTTATACTGAAGCATTGAGCATCACAAAAAGTTATGACACTTGGACGAGTGTCTGATATGGCCTGGACAGGTCTATAATCCAAACACAATTCTAAATGCCAAGGACATGGCTGAAAACAGTGTTTAGGTTGCTCCTGGCACATCACCATAATGACAAAGGCCAATAGCTGATGCTTTTCCGAGCTCAAGCGGGCTAACACTTTTGTCTTTCTTGCAAAATATGAAACAAACTTTTATAGAAAAAAAGAAGAAGAATAATGCTCCCTGCGACATTGTAAAAATACTCCCAACATCAATTTGACCTCGCTTGCCAAGAAAGCTACCATCAAAACTAAGTTTGATCTTCCTGCAGGCAAAAGCCTCCAAACAACTGAAGACACATTCCTTTGAGTGGCTAATACGAATCTGAGCTGGATTGAGAGAGCTAGCATCACATTCTGTAGGAGTATATGTTGTAAAATACCCTCTTGTTGCATCAAACTTGTGTGTCATTTCCATATCCATGCAATTTAAGTAATGCCTAATGAATCCATTCTTTAGCCAACACAAAGATGGCCAAGATCTAACGAACCTCATTTTTTTTTTTTTTTCCGCGGGGGGGGGGTTTGTTGGGGGGGGGGGG